CACTCATAGAAATACCTTTCTTCATCTAGAAGGAAAAGTAAAAGTGTAAATATCTAACACTTATAAGAGCTGGCAAAGTACAGCCTACAGGCCAAATTTGGATAGCTGTCTGTTTTTCTTAAACTCTTGTTTATACTTTCTTTTATTTTTGCCTTTTTTTTTAATGGCCTGCGATTAAGAAAGTGTGTTTTTTTTTTCATTTTTAAATAGTTGAAAAATCTTCCAAGAAGAATTTTTCGTGACATGCTAAAATGACATAAAATTCAAATGTCAGTGTCCCTAAATAACATTCTACTGGAACACAGCCATATTCATTTGTGTACATGATGTTTTGTGCTATAATTGGGGATGTGAATAGTTGTAACATAGACACCATGGCCCTCAAAGCCTAAAATATTTACTACCCCACTCTGCATAGAGAAAGCTTGAGGATACCTCGTCTACTGAGCCAGGTACTGGGCTAGGGCTTTCACATCATGTCTCTATTTTTCTCAAAACTTTTAGTGGTGCATTAGGTTCAGAGACCTGGAGAAACTGTCTAGCTAACTTGAGAACAATAACATGTTTTATTTGTAAAATACATTATTTAGGTACTAAAGATAGTGAGTTGCCGTCTTTATTTTTAGTGTCCCAGCTTCTCCCCTGCTTAAACAAGGCTATTTATTTCAAATGCTCACAGTACTAAAGCTACATTTTCAGAATACAGTATAAGGCTCTTCAAATCCAAACTTTTACTCACATCTCATCACTTTTTTCCTCACCAGTTACTACTGAATTTCTCACTTCTCCCATTTTGTGCAGACACACGTTCCAAGGGAGAGATTCAGGAGCATTCAGATTCCTTGTCCCTTCCCTTGTATGCCTTTCTCCACTCTACTTCTTCAACCCATTGTCTACCATCGAGGAATATAAAAGGAAGGGAGGAGGGAGGGAGAAATAAAAACTGCAAAACACACATGGGTGGGTGTACTGGGGCGAGGCATATACCTCATCCCTCCCGTCAGCCTAATTGGCCAAATCCTCCCCTAGGGTAGGGACGATTTAAAAAAAAATATATATATATATATATACACACATATATAATATATATTTAAATATATATAATATATATAATTATATATATATATAATCAATTATATATATAATGGATTTTTTTAAAACGTAGTCCACCACTATAGAAGGTTCACCGATCCACAGTCGCCCCCACCCCCTTCCCTTTTTCATCCCCTTGGGAAACCTGAAAAAACACAAAATCTTCCCAAGGAAACTCCTCAGGGGCTCGCGAGATCGAGGCTCCGCGGACTCGCTCTCGCGCGGCGCCGCCGTCCCCGCAGCTGGGCGGCGGGGTCTCCGAGCCCAACCCTCCCCGGCCTCCTGCGCCTGCGCAGCTCCCCCCCCCCCTCCGGCCCCTCGCCCTGCAGCCGCGGGCGCGTGACGTAACGCAACCTCAGCAGGCGGCGGCGCTATAAAGCAGGGCACGGCCGCGCGCCTCCCAGACGCAGGGTCGCTTGTGATTGGCTCCGGCTGCACAACCTCGGAAACCCGAACGCGGGGACCTTACGGCTCCACAGCTGCAACCCCCGCCTCCTCCCCCCCTCCCCCGCCCCCCCAGAAATTCGGAGCGCGGTCAGAATTTTCCTGGCGGCGGCGGCATCTGCAGGTAAGGAGGCTCCTCAGAAGAAAAGAGAGGGGATTTCGGGGCCCCTGCGCTCGGGGTCGCTCCCCAGAGGGGAGGAGAGCTGGTGCCGCTTGCACCGCGGGGCGAAGGGAACAATGGAAGTGGCGTCCGGTCCCTAGATCGCCCTCCCCCTCGGGCGCCCCATTTGGAGCCTCCGCCTCGGCGGCGGCTGCAGGAATGGAGGGAAGGGTCTCCTCCTCAGCTGACCTTTTCTTTCCGTAGGGCCAGAGCCCCCCCGGGGGCGAGAGCCCTCGCGAAGGCCGTCGGTGGTTTGGGGTGACGGGAAAATGGCGGAAAACAAAACGGTGAAGTGAAGAATGCGACGTCCCCCCCACCCCCGGCATTTTTTCCTGCTACATCCCCCCCCCCGCCCCCTCAGCCCCGATATTCCTTTCACTCGCGCCCCCCGCCCGCCGCGAATGGTAACCTTGCAATTCGCGGGGAATGGCGGCGTTTGTGGGGAGGTGGGAGCGAATCGGGCGTTTTAGGGCGATCGGGAGCCGTCAGAGCAGGGAAGGGGGGGGGGGGGGACGTGTGCTGCAAGTGTCGCCTCGGCGAACGCACCACCATTTTGGTTCTCAGCCTTCTTCTCCCACGGAGTGGGCAGAGGGAGCGGGAGGGAGATGAGGGGTTGGCTGCACAGCGCGGGTGGCGAAGGGGCAGGGGAGACCTCTGCACCAACTGAGAGAAGAAGAGAGGAGGGGAAAGGGTAATTCTTGTCTCTTCGATCTCCAGCTTTCCTTGGCGGAGGTGCTCTGGTTCGGTTCAGGATCCATCCAGGCAGATGGGTCATTTATATGAGGGCACGTGTGTGCGTTCTGCTCGAAACGATTGAAACTTGGCACGGGCTCGGGAAAGGCAGACTTCTGCGGGAAGAGGGTTGTGTCCAAAGCTGCAATACTGCTCCTTGCCAGGGCTCCTTTGTCTCCTATCTCCGCCAAGACTACTTTCACATTCTCTCGTTTTGCCGTCTCAGGATTTCTCTCCCACCCCTTTGCCGAATTTGCATCACCGAGAAGCTAGGTCCCGAATGAGCTGTGTTTAGAGGCGATTGCTGAGAGGAACGTTTGTGTGTGTCTGTGATTTCTGCTTCCCCTACGTGGCAGGAAAGATGTTTACTTAAGGCATACTTGGTGGTTCCCTCCATTCAGTGAGGATGTGCGTGAGATGATAGATTCTTGGGAAGACTCAGAAGCCTGGAGACCTATTGGCTGTTCTCCTACCTTATTTATTACTGATCGTTTTGAAACTTCCTATGTGGGAATAAATGTGCTCCGATTTATTTCGTATTCCTACAGCATGGCGCTTCTCGTAATAGTTGCATTAGGCGTTCGAATTTTTACATTTCACGGAGCGCTAGTGCATCTTTTTTTCTCTGGATCGGGCAAAGATAAAGCTTGCCCTTGGTTGGTTCGCTTTCACTTTCCAAAATACTGAGTTGGTAGTGATTTTGAAAATGTGCTTTAGAGAAGATTTTGTTTTAATCAGGTGGTCGAATTCTAATAATGTTGCTTATATCTTGGTGGATAGTCGTTTCTGTTGGAATCCCTATGGTTGCTTTTTATATTAATAGATTTGAGCATATCAGCCCAAATTGAAAGTGTAAAGAAAAATTCTGAGTTGTGTAAGAGTTTTGGTTTAAAATGTTTTAAAATATCTAATTCTAAATGTATTTTTACAATAGGTAAAGAAAACTTCCCCCCCCCAAAGAAAATAATATAGCTCAGAAGGAAAAATAAAAAGAAATTGCTGCAGATTTTATTTTACTATGTAAGAAAAATCTACAGTTTCTTCGAGACTCTATATTAAGGTGATTAACAAATTATAGTGTTTTATCTTATTTCATAGCTAAACAAAATGGTTTAAAACATTTAAAGACATTTATAATTGTTCTGTTAATAATAAAGAAAACAATTGCTCTAATTAAAGTTGAAATAGTACAATGTTTTTAATTTTAAGGAGTTCTCATGATATTTTAACTTACCTCTGAACACACAGTTTATTGTGAACGCTCTTGACTTCATTTTGAAGGCAGAAAACATTTTGTGGTATTTTTTAAAAGATAAAATACGACCAAGAATTTCTAAAACTTTGTGATTTTGCTCACACATAACCAAATAATTTTATCTAAAATATTTGATATGCTGTAGGATTTTTATAAACATGGCTCATGTTATGTACAGAGGTTACTCTGTGAGACTCTCCTCCATTTATAGAACTTTAAGGCAAGGAAAAAATCTTTGTGATCTCCTGTACTTAAGGATAAAGTTAGTTTACATAGATTTCTAAAATGTTTATTAATGATATAGTCTCATCTTTTGTGCAGTATAGTCCTATTTATTAAACACTCCTATCTAAAAAGGAGATAATTGTTATAAAATTTACAGATTTTTGGTAGATTTACTTGGAGTCTTTAATGAGGAAATACACATAAGTAGTTATAAAAAATATGTTGACAGCACATGATTTTAGGTTCCATACATCTGGTGATCTTATTAATAGATAAGTCATTTGAAATGAAATACGTTGATCCCTTGCTTTCAAAATTAGTATGAGGCTAACATGACTTTAGTAATCATTAATGGAAAAAATCCATCATACAATTGCAAGTAAACTATATTCTGTAAGAAACGCTTTGCTAAAATGTTTGTATGTGATTGATCTTATCTTTACCATATTTAGGAAGCAGTCATGTTTCATGAGTCCTCAAAACTGTGAGACAAGAGAATGTAGTAGAGTGAGCTAAGAAGTCCTTACTGACTCAAAGAACTCCCGGGAAACTGGGATAGAACATTTTACATTATAAGTAAAACCCCTGGAGCCAGAGGTGAAACACGTTTATCTGCAGAGCTCGGCTGCAGGCTGATCTGGGTCTGGAAGAAATGGATGAGAGCCACTGGATGAAATTCACTAATACTAGACACCTGAGTCCTCTAGTAATGTATAAATATCCCAACTATTGTCATCTTGTTCTTTTTCTTCTGCTTTTATAACCTATATTTTAACTGAAACTTCAACACTACAGTTTTGTTCTTTTGCTTGCTTCTTTCACTTCTCTATGGTTCACTACACTTACTCTGTCTCATTCTCCATTATCTTTGGTTTACTTCCACTTGGCCCTTCTATAATTTATGGTTGTCACATACAGCATCTAATCAAGGTTTTTGTTTTGTTTTCTTTGGTAATAAAATTTGCACACCTGGTTGAAAGGCATGTTTTCAATTGCATTTTTTTTTCTCAAAACAACTGACTGACTACATGTTTTTAAACTATTTAAAAAACCATTTCTTTTACAGAAATTTGTGAATGAACTTTGCTAAGTATGGATTCATGTGGAGGAGGCAGTCTTGGATTGTACACATCAGACTCTAGAATGGCCCATACCATGATTATGCAAGATTTTGGTAAAGCATTTCTTTGTTGTACTTTTTTATAAGTCAGAACAAATGAAATATCAAAACTACACTGCAGAAGAGGAGAGTTACAATGAGATATTGTTCTCTTGCTAGCAAAACACATTTGTAGGACTTATTAAAGTACAGCTATATGTCTGTTGTCTACTTAAAACTATTCTTAAAATTTTGTGGAAAAGTTGAGATAAGGAAACTTGGAATATAATGGTAATATGCCATTGAAAATGTAAAATTCAATTTGCATAAATAACTATCAGTTCTTCCATGTAGGAAATATTAAGTTAGATTTCTAAAATATATTTTAATTTGAATTGTTAATAAAACTGGATAAGGAAATACTTAAATCATTTTAAAGGAGTTAGATGCTTATAAAGTGATACAGGAAAATTGTGCACTAGGTGATCAATTGTATTCTGATACTGTATTCTCAGAAAGTTGTTATTAATAGCATTACATTTTTAAAAAAATATTCCTTATTTTTATAAACATTTTTCAGTAGTCTCTTAATTTTGATGAAAATGTGAAGACTCCTTTGAGAGTCCACAAAGAAACTGAATTTGGGTAAGGTCAATATGAATGATAGAAGATAGAGGTATCTGAAGTATAAGATGTAGGGATAGAATTGTAGTAGTTGAAGAAAAGATCACAGAGTATGAGTGTAAAAAAAAAACAAATGGTAAATTGGGATAAAAAGTAAACAAAACGAGGTGAAATTAAAGATAGAGATTCTTTGCATAATTAAGAAAATACTACTTCTGTTTTCAGATAATATGGTTGAATTAATTATTTTATTCCATTGTAAAGCCCAGAAAAAAATGAATTTCGCTCTTGCTAGTCCTATTAACTATCTGTGTAAACTTGGACAAATTACTTAATTCACTTTTATGAAGGGGTTGGACAAGATAACATTTAAGGTGTTCTTCAATTCTTTGACTCCTTGATATTTCTGCCTGATGACTGAAGGTACAGTGTGGGCCTGATGACTAAAGGTACAGTGCGTAGTTCAAGAGCAGATGTGTTGGAGATCAAGATGACTGTGTCATTAATTGATGAAATAGAAAGAAGTCATGGATTTATTCTAAGAGTCAGAAGTGAATTGTGTTGATAATGAATAAATTAGAAGTGATTTCGGGTGGGAAAAGTACAGGAATAAATTTTAAAGGTAGGGCAAAGGGCTGAAGAGTTAAGATTTCACAAATAATTTTGTGAATTCTTTGCTAGAGATAGTTTTTAAAATATGGGAACACATGAATTTCAATATGTTAAATATGTTTTGATTGAAATGCCAACTTTAATTTGTTACCTTTTAATAATAGATATTTTTTAAATGGAAGAAATATAGTATTTTCTCCATTTAATACAAAATGTTATCTACAATGTAGCATTTCCCTTCAAAGATTGAGAAAAAAAAATCTGATCAATGCTGGTAAATATTTGGTGTTCCTCTTCCTTTTCACTGTTCCTCCTCCTGTTATTTTTTATGGTAAATTAATCCTTTATTACATCTAATACTTTATTTCCTTTTAATTGCTAGGGAAGTAGCATATGTGTATTGACATATTTTATGTACATTCTTTTATTATATTGAGTTATAATTAATATACAATTCACCCATGTTAAAGAATACAATTCAATAGAGTTACAAAGTGCAGCTGTCACCATTACCTAATTTCAGAACATTTTGTCATGATAAAAATATACCTCATACCCATTGGCAGTTACTTCCTCCCCTTCCTCCCCTCATCTTTCTGCCCATGGATTTACCTGTTCTGGGCATTTCATATAAGTAGAATCATATATGTCACCTTTTGTGTCTGGCTTCTTTCACCTAGCATAATGTTTTCTAATTATATCCATATTGTAGCATGTATTAATACTTAATTTATTTTTACTGCTAAATAATACTCTATTACATGGGTAAGTTAAATTTGTTTATCTACTCATCAGTTGGCAGACATTTGACTTGTTAAAATACTTTTTAATGCATCAGAATGCTTTTTGTATTTAACCTAAAGCTTTGCATCTCAGACTAGAGTATGAGTGCCCTTGAGGAATGTGCCAATGTGTACATGAAACCACAGGATAAACAGCCAATCAAAACAGTACCTTTATTTGAATTAGGGAAAAGACACATAGACACAGTTATACTCATGTAAACATGTTACGGGACAGAAAGCAAAACTTCATTTATTATACACTTACTTTTTATGAGCAATAAGATGGGCAAATTTGAGAACTACTTCCAGATCTTTAATTTAGAGTCCCGTAGTTCAGGAGGCAACCGATCAATGTTTTTCTCTCATCATTGATATTTTTGTCTCCTTCTCTTCCTTCCTCTCTGAAATCAATAAAAATATATTTTAAAAAATAAAGTCCAGTCTGGAGTCAAATAGGTTAATTCCCAGCTTGAGCCTAGGGCAAGCTTATTTAATCCCTCTTAACCATAGTTCATATTTAAAATGGGGATAATAACAACTCACCTTATTATACAGTTGTTCTGAGGCTTAAGTGAGATAATATATGTAAAAGCATTAGCAAGTTGCTTGGTGCATAGTCAGTGCTCAATAAATAAAGCTTTTGTATAGCTAACTGTGTGACTGTTTAGAAATTCAGTGGAATCTAACAGATCGGTTGTAAGAGGAAAGAACAAAATTTCATACCAGTCTTGGATCTTTGTCTGAATAATATGCCAGTACCGTGTGGAAAACTCATTGATTCTTACTCTAAGCTCTTTGAGATTATCTAGTTCAGGAAAAGAAAGGATGTTTGGATTTCTTTTGGTTTAGGTATGATTTATTTTTACCTGTAAGTTCCTATTACAGTAGAGGCTAGGTGAACAGAAAAACACTCCAGCTGTTTTAGAATCTTCCCAATCAGGTTAATATGAACTCGGGCCAGCACTTGCATTATACCATCCTTTCCTAGTGTCTACTTTCAAGAACCAAACTAACCTCCAGCAGTGTTCTAAAGTAAATGGAATTTCCTATAATTTAAGTTTGAATTGTGAATAAGTGTTATAAAATATTAATTTGTTGTTTATATGCATAGAATTTTCATACTGTTAATTTTATAGACTTAACATTTAAATTTTCCTTGCAAAAAAACGATATTACCAATCTAGTTGAATGCTAAATTTGAAACCTGCCCTCCCTGTCTCCAAAATAACCCTGGAGTAATAAGTGAAGAGAAAAAACTACTTATATACACACTCCTTTTGTCTACTAGATTTCAAGATTGAGGCTCTATTCTTCTAGGGCAGTGGTCAACAAACCGTGGCTCCTGAGCCACATATGGCTCTTTGGCCCCTTGAGTGTTTGACAACACTTCTTCAAAATAGACTTGCCCAGGCCCAAAACCGACTTCTGGGCATGGGTCATGAAGTTTCAATCACACTGTACATGCGTGCCCGTACGTGGCATTTTGTGGAAGAGCCACACTCAAGGGGCCAAAGAGCCACTTGTGGCTCGTGAGCCGCAGTTTGCCGACCACTATTTTACGGTAATGTGGTGATTTAGGTATCAGTTTGAGAATAGTGAGATGGATACAGAAGGGTTGAAAGAAAGATTATCCTGCCCTAGCTGGTTTTGCTCAGTGGATAGAGCATCGGCCTTTGGACTGAAGGGTCCCCAGTTCGATTCTGGCCAAGTGCACATGCCCAGGGTTGCGTGCTTGATCCAGTGTGGGACGTGCAGGAAGCAGTCCATCAATGATTTCTCTCATCTTTGATGTTTCTATCTTTCCTTCTTCCTTCCTCTCTGAAATTAATAAAAAATATATTTAAAAAAAAAAGGAAGGAAGATTATCCTCAAAGGCCGCTTTCCCTTCTCACTTTTTTTAAACGGATTAAGGTATTAACAGTGTCCATTGATCTTCAACCAAACTTGTTAACTAATGCCATAAATAATTGGTTTATAATAGTGAATAATCTATAGCAGATAGCACTCTTTCAGGTATCTATCCTATCTAATAAAAGAGGAATAAGCAAATTAACCATCACTCTGCTACACCACAAACCACACCTACCAGCCAATTAGGAGTGAGTATGCAAATTAACCCAACCACTATGGATGGAGAGAGCAGGAGGGTGGCTTGGGTTTCCCGGGTGATGGAGGAAGCCAAGCTTTCCACCTGCCCTGGTTAGCATATGGCTCCACTCCAGGCTACAAAGTTTAGATACCAGGGCCTTCACTTGGGTTGCTGGGGGGCGTGGCCGACCTGCAAACCACCACAGGCCCCTTGCCCAGGCCACCCCATGCCCCAAGGGAACCCCCACCATGATGGGGGATGCCCTGCAGGGCAAACCAGCTGGCCTCCACCCATGCACCAGGCCTTTATCTTATTTATAAAAGAGTAATATGCAGATTGACCATCACTCCAACACACAAGATGGCTGCCCCCATGTGGACAAAAGATGGCCACCATAAGATGACCACCAGGGGAGGGCAGTCACACACATAGCCAACTGCTAATCTATTTTCCTGTATAGTTTTTTATTTTTATTTTATGAATGCTATAGAAGTTATTCCATTTATACATTATACAGTATTGTAAACTTTGGTAACGGTTTTTTTGCACTCCGCATAATTTTTTGGAGATTCATTCAGGTTATTGAATGTAGCAATGGTTTGTCCCTTTTTTATTGCTGAGTAGTATTCCATAGTAAGGATGTGCCGGAGTTGGTTTAGCAAACCATTCATTGCTGAAGGACATTAGGATTATTTTCAATGTTTTGCTACTATGAGTAGTAGTTCTTATGAGCTGTTATGAGTATTTATGTGTAGTTTATTTTTTTTGTATAAACCTATGTTTAATAATTCTGTGGAAAACTCCCTAGAGTGCAGTTGTTGGGTTGTATGGTAAGTACATGTTTAGCTTTATAAAAACAGACAAACTATTTTCCAGAGTGTGTGCTACATTTTACATTCCCACCAGCAAAATATGAGATATCAATTTTCTCTACATCTCACCACCTGTGCTGTTATTTGTTTTTTATTTCAATTATTCTAATTGGTGTGTAGTGATATATCATTGTGACTCTATGTTTTACTTTAAAATACATCATTTTAAGGTTCTAATTTAGATTTTGTGAACATTGTTTTCAACCCTGATTGGTGATGATTTTTATTACATTCTAATTATCAGTGAATTTTTTAAGAGATAGCTTGGCCAGGACTATTTCTTACTTAAAATATTTTATGTCATCTAATATATTAAGTACAGTTTTTTAGATTAATAATGTAACTACTTTTGGATAATTGTTTATATTATAGTGGCTGGAATGGCTGGTACTGCGCATATCGATGGAGACCATATTGTTGTTTCAGTTCCTGAGGCTGTATTAGTTTCTGATGTTGTCACAGATGATGGGATAACTCTTGATCATGGCCTTGCAGCTGAAGTTGTTCATGGGCCTGATATCATCACTGAGACCGATGTAGTAACAGAAGGTGTAATAGTTCCTGAAGCTGTACTTGAAGCTGATGTTGCTATTGAAGAGGATATCGAGGAAGATGATGGTGATCACATCTTGACTTCTGAGCTAATTACAGAAACCGTTAGAGTACCTGACCAGGTTTTTGTGGCTGACATTGTTACTGGTCCTGATGGACACTTAGAACATGTGGTTCAAGATTGTGTTTCAGGAGTTGACTCTCCCACAATGGTATCTGAGGAGGTTCTTGTAACTAATTCAGATACAGAAACTGTGATTCAAACAGCTGGTAGTGTTCCTGGATCTACAGTTACTATTAAAACTGAAGATGATGATGATGATGAGGAAGAAGAGGATATGAAGAGCACTTCTGAAGACTACTTAATGATATCATGTAAGTGGAACATAAAGTTCATTAAGTTCTCAATTACTTGAGAAATTGATTTATATATAACCTGGAAAGTTTTTGTGGGATGAAAGATTTATTCAGTAATAATGGGAAGAGTTTTTTTTTAAAGAAAATTTTCAAAACTATTGTTGACATGCTTTTTTGATTTTGCTCATATTTTTAATTTACTCAATGAATATTCATACCCAAAATAAAATAACGTAATTTAGTAATATCTTAGAACAAAAATATAGATTTGGAAGGTTCAGCAAGAACAGTAACTGATACAAAATTTTAATGGTATATATATATTTTTTTTTTCTTTTTAAATGGGAAATTTATTTTAGGTAGCCATTGCTTTATTTTTAATATGGCAGGTATTGGAGTTGTTCACTTTTGCTTAGGAATTTAAGTATGATATATTCAGAAATGTATAATTAGTTTTTTATACAATACTTGGAAAGTAAATTATAAACTCAGATTGTGTTCTACAATTTTCCCTGTGTGTTTTTTCTGTTTGTGTAAATATGTGTGTTTATTTCAGACTGCTTTACGATGTCCTTAAGACACTATCTGGAGGAGGAAGATAGAAATATCTTGTTCTCATTCTAAGTGGTGCGTTTGCCTAAATAGCAACAATAATAAAAATCTAATAATTAAAGTTATAGATAGAGCTAGAGATAGAAGTGGGTCTATACATTATAAATTTGAAGGGATAATGCTGGAAGTAGTAAAGCTTAGGTAAAGATTTCACTTTTCCATAGAGGATTTTTTGTTCTTTTTCTTTATAAAATTACAAAATGGTTGATTGGGAGCTAGAGTTTATGTATGTATGTATGTATGTATTTATGTATACAGTGATTGTTATATGTGTGTATCAGTGAATTTAAAACAAAAAAAATTAGATTAATTTTAAATATGATTATGAAGTCTAGTGTCTTAACTTTTTCCTCTATATGCAATTTTAAATATTTACATTGTTTTTAAGGGAATAATTTAAGCTACTACAAGACTGTGCAAATGTTACTATTTTTTTTAAATTAATGTGGATTACTAAAGCAGCTCCATATTTACAATTAACCTTACATAAAAACCTATGGTTATGTTTGTATAACATGGTATGTCAAAGTCAGTAATCTTTCTGTACAAACATAAATTCAATATGCTCTTAAATGGGTACTTGTCAAATTAAACTCTTTAGTGTTAACGTGGTCTAAAATTTAAACATCATATATATGTAAATAGTCATCCCTTAACATATCATCTATAATTTGATTCTGTAAAAAGGTTTTTTTTAAGTTTCTAGAATATTCTTAGTTTCTATTTTTAGCTTGATCTTACTATATTGACAAATGCCGAGAATTTTTTCCTACTCTAAATAGACTGAAAATTATTTTTAAAAATCTATATTGCTTGAATAATGGAACTTCAGCAAGGTTATTCTAAGAGGAAATTAAACTAGGGATTAATGAATTCCTTATTTATTAGTAGAGAAACAGCAACATTGAAAAATCCCTTTAAAACTTAAAGCAATTTTTAACTTTGGAAAGCGGGATATACAAATATATAAAAATTAAGTATTTTTTTATATCTTTCATTTTCCCACGACCAAGGTCTTAGACTATATTCCATAAAGGTTACAAATAAGACTAAGTACTCTTTCTTACCATTTTCATATATTTTATTTATTTATTTTTAAAAGAAATCTTTACTGTTCATATTATTACAAAAGTTCCTCATTTTTTTCCCCTCCACCAGGTTCCCACCCCACCCTCTGCCCTTTCTGCACCCTCCATTGTCTTCATCCATAGGCGCACAGTTTATGTTTAGTCTGTTCCCCCACCACCTACTCCTCTTTTCCCCAAGAATCGTCAGTCCACTCCCCTTCCATACCTCTGATTCTATTATATTCAACAGTTAATATTGTTCATCAGATTTTTTAATTCCCTTGGTTTTTAGATTCACTTGTTGATAGTTACATATTTGTTTATCATAATTTTTATCTTTATTTTCTTCCTCTTCCTAAAGAACCCCCTTCAGCAGTTCATATAATTCTGGTTTGGTGGTGATGAACTCCTTTAGCTTTTTTTTTTATTTGTGAAGCTCTTTATCTGACCTTCGATTCTGAGTGATAGCTTTGCTGCGTAGATTATTTTTGGCTGTAGGTTCTTGTTATTCATCACCTTGAATATTTCTTGTCATTCTTCTCTAGCCTGCATGGTTTCTGTTGAGAAATCAGCTGACAATCCTATAGGTGCTCCTTTATAGGTAACTACCTGCTTTTCTCTTGCTGCTTTTAATATTCTCTCTTTGTCTTTTGCTCTTGGCATTTTAATTATGATGTGTCTTGGTGTGGTCCTCTTTGGGTTCTTTTTGTTTGGGGTTCTGTGCACTTCCTGGACTTGTAAGTCAATTTCTTTCACAAGGTGGGGGAAGTTTTCTTTCGCTATTTCTTTCAATATGTTTTCAGTATCTTGCTCTCTTTCATCTTCTGGGACCCCCTTAATTCTGATGTTGGTTTGCTTGAAGTTGTCCCAGAGGTTTCTTACACTATCTTCAACTTTCTGGATTCTTTTGTCTTCTTGCTTCTGTGGAGGAGTGTCCTCTGGCTCTGTGTGTTCCAAACCTTTGTCTTGATTCTTGCGATCTTCCATTCTGATTTTAGGACTCTGTATAATATTTTTTATTTCAGACAATGTATTCTTTATTTCTAGTTGATTCCTTTTCATATCCTCATAGGTCTCGTTTATTTTATCGGCCTTTTCTAGGAAATTCTTGAAAAACCTCATAAGTGTGGTTTTGAACTCTATATCCAGTTGCTTTTTGTCCTCCATTTCTTTCCTTTGTGATCTGTTTCCTTGTCTAGGCACTTTCGCTGCTTCCTTGAGTTGGTAGGGTGGCTTTGTGTATTAAGGTGTCCCATATGGTTCAGTGGGTCAGCCTCCCAGTTACCTGAGGTGGACACTCTTGGTGCATCCCTTTGTGGACTGTGTGTACAGCCTTGTTGTAGTTAAGTCTAGATTGTTGTTGGTATCACTGGGAGGAACTGACCTCCAGGCCAATTGGCTGTGAGGATCAGCTGTGTCTATGCCAGGAGACAGCCTTATTCAAAAGCCTCTTTGCTCAGCTTGGATGGGGCAGAGTTTCAGGGTGGAGCCTTATAGCATTGGCTTCCTGTCAGCCCCGCCCTATGAGGTTCCTGAGTCTCAGTGTTCCTCAGTGTCCTTTGGTACTTGCTGCAAGCAGCTCTGATAGAAAGGTGCCCTCCAAAAAAAAAAGAAAGGTGCCCTCGAGTTTCGCCCACTACCGAACAGTCTAGTCTTTCTCCCAATGAGCCCGGAACTGGGGTTCAGTGTAGTTGGAAGTAGGGTTCAGTGCATTCTGGAGCTTTTGTCTCCTTCCCGCTAGGGCAATCCAGTGGCACAGTCAACAGTTAGTCCTCTGCATGCAATGTGTGTGACTCTGGGGCTCTGCCTTTTGCCGCTCCCCTGAGTTTCCGCCTAACAGCCTAGAATCACTCTGTATGAGCCCGGGATCCCAGGGTCTCTCCCAGAACTGGGGTTCAGTGCAGTCAGAACTAGGGTTCAGCACAGTCTAGAGCTTTTATCTCCTTCCCGCTAGGGAACGCCAGCCAGGCACTCAGCCCCCCACCCCCCCTCTCTTGCTCCGTCCTCTCCTCATGTGTGCACCATGTCTCTGTACCTTAGGCTTTTACAGCTCCTCTGATTTTCTTTCTGGTTTTCTCTTTCCTTCTCGTTGTAGAATTTTCAGTCAGTCAACTTTCCTGTAGTTCTGGATAATGTCCATTTTATATATTAGTTGTATTTTTTGAAATTGTTGTGTGAGGCTGCAGTTAGGTGTTTACTTATGCTGCCATCTTGGTTTTTCCACCATTTTTATATATTTTATTTAATTCTATTTTTATATAGCTTTTCTTTTTTTTCATCTCAATATTTATTTTAACTCTTGGTTTCTGTTGTCCATTGAATCTTTTAGGAATTCGAGAATACATTGTGTTGAAAGGATTTAATATTAAGAGTCTCATGCTCTACCGACTGTGCTAGCCGGGCACTTCCGAAAGGATTTAATATTAAATTCTTGGTTTTTCCAAGATAAAGATTTTCAAAATATCTAAGAGATAAAGTTGAGGAGTTAAAACAGACCTTTGTCTTATTCCTGAGTCCCTGAATAATCCTATAAGGAAATCTTGTCAGTAGCCGAGTCTTAGAGATAAAAGAGTTTGTCTTCTCTCAATATCTGAGGTGCATCTGAATTTTTTCTGCTTTCAGGCCATACTTCACAAATTCTTTATCTTAGATGGTTAGGTTCTTCCACTTGTGCTAAGTAACTTGGATATCATCATCATCATCATCATCATCATTATTATGCTGGTGAAGATATGGAGAAAAAGGAACCCTAGTACATTGCTGATAGGAAGGCAGACAGGTACAACCACTATGGAAAACTGTGTGAACTTTACTAAAAAAATTAAAAATGGAACTGCCATTTGATCCAGTGATCCCACTGCTAGGAATATAGCCTAAGAAACCTGAAACACCAATCAGAAAGAATATCTGTACTCCTATGTTTATAGCAGCATTATTTATGATAGGTAATATCTGAAAATAGCCCAAGTGCCCAACAGTAGATGAATTAAAGAACTATGGTATATTTATACAATGGTCTACTATGCAACTGTGAAAAGGAAGGATCTCTTACCATTTGAGATAGCATGGAGGGACCTGGAGAATGTTATGCTAAGTGACATAAGCCAGTAAGAGAAAGACAAGTATCACATAATCTCACTTATATGTGGACTCTTAATATAAGTGACAACCAGAGACAATGAAGCATGCAACAGACTGATGTATACCAGAGGGAAGGGAGGGGTGCAGGAAGAGGTTAACCAAAGAACTATATGCATATATGCATAACCCATGGATATAGACAATATTATGGTGAAGACCTGGGGAGAGGGTGGGAGAGGTTGGAGGGGGTCAATGGGG